TGCTGTCACAATACACCACAACCAGAGTGTCCAGATTTAGCGATTTCACGCCCTTTTGGCGGGTTGTGCGATTATATTATAACAAGATCTCATTTTTTAAATAAAAAATTTGTTGAATCTATTTCATGAATTTTATATTAAAAAAAAATCGAGATTTTTGGCGATTTTTTCCAGAAATTGCGTTTTTTTTAACAATCTGGACACCCTGACCACAACTACTATTCAGCGGCTGCGTCGGCAGCGACAGCGTTCGATAGCTTGAGAACAGGGTAGCCAACTCATTTTTGAGAATTCCGCCGAAATTTCGTAAAATCCTTATTTACAAAAAAAAATTAGTGACATATTGCTGGGCTGTGTTTTCTTTTTTTAATGCAATTCAGCTATTTATGTATTAATAGGCCAAACCAAAATTTTACAATGTTGGTCAACAAATAAAGAAAAAAATGTACATATATGTAATGTTTACACACATACAGTGGTCGAGAAAGTTTCAGTCACGCCAAATTGTGTATATTTTTTTGTTATTAATTTGATTCATTTTTTTTTTTTTTAATATAGTTAATTCTTTTACAAAAACAGTACAAATTTCAAACTTTGTGTGATATTAAAAAAAAATTCTACAAACTTTCGTAAAAATTTGAGCTTTTTAATTTGATAATCTAGAAAGATTTTAAATATGCAGCTTTGTAGCCCACTCAAATCTACTAAGTGCAAGTTTCAAGTGGCGAAAAATTTTTGTTTTATTTTTTTCCCGAAAGTGTTGCGGTTTTCTTCCACATAAAAAAGGTGTGTTTATTCGTTATTCGACAAAAAAAAATCTAAATCAACGGTAATATGTATAATTTGTAGAATTACATAATCAGTACTTTTAGTTGCAGTTGCATTTCTTATGCGACTTTTTTACCTCATTATACAGTCAGTGAAGCAAAAAAGAATAAATTAGTTAACACCTAATTCCTCATAAAAAGCAGTTCATCTCCCGATCTGCACGTAAACTGAAATTCCCCACAAAAAACGGTCTATTCCCCGATTCCCCACGCAAACTCAATTTCCCCTCAAATCCCCAAGAGTTGGCTTCCATGCTTGAGGGTAGTCTTGGTAATGATAATTTTTAACCGACTTCCAAAAAAGGAGGAGGTTATCAGTTCGTCGGAATATTTTTTTTTTTTTCTTTTTATGTATGTTACCGCATAACTTTGGACCACGTCAACCGATAATTCTTTCTGCATCGGAAAGGTAGTGTCTCAGAGGTGGTCCCATAATAATCTGGTTGAGATCCGCTCAGTGGATCATGAGATATATATATATATATTTTTTTTTTATATGGGAGTTGAAGTCGGTTTTTTTTGCTAAAAATTACTTGTTGAATTCTGTAAGTTGCAATTGTTCTATTGTTCTATTTTTCTCTTTTCTTTTTACTCTCCTGTTCTCTACTTTTCCTCTTTCTACTACTTATTCATTTCTTTTTTTCTCTAGCTTAAGATGTCTCCTAGCATTAATTCTAATTTAAGATTAAATGTAATATTTATGTAAATTTGTTTTTCTAAATTTATTGTATTTTTCTTGTTTACTGCTAGTATTAATTTCATCTAAAACATAAATACTGTACATGTATCACGCTCGATGCACTATAAAAAGACATTGTCTTAGATGTGCAATACATTGTTTTCTAATAATAATAATAATAATAATTAGGAGTTAAGAAAGGTACTTATAGATCAGCACATATATGTATTTATATATAAATACCTTCAATATGCCGGTTTTGCTACAAACCCTGCTCAAAGGACCTCTGGGGCCACCCAATCGATCCCCGAACAAGGTGAATTTCTTTATGGCCACTTTTCACGACAAATCCAAGCATCAGAACCAATAAAATATTTTTTTACGGCTAGCCGGTGGCCCACTGTGCGACGCCCAGCAAATATATAAAACTCCAGTTTTAACAAACAGGTTTTTATAATTATTTTTTACGCTTTTTTTATGGAAACGAATCTAACTTGAATTTGCCGAAAATATAAATATAATAATACTAATTCCCTCACAAAATTTATGATATATGTATATTGCGTCCATACATTTTTGCGATAATTTTTCAAGTTTATTGTTTTGTTTTAAGTAAAACTGTATTAAAAGATGTTATGTCCCGGTTGTCAAAGCTTTAAGTTCACTAAGCTACGGGAACGGTATTGCCATAATACCATGGGACTTCGGTAACCCAAAAGCTCACTTAGAAGGTACAATCTAAAATGATACAGGTTACAGGAGAAACTAAGGATCATTACAGGCACTTGTACTATGTATTTAGGAATCTGGTCTAGTGACCTATGTCGCTTCTGTGACGCTGCCAAGGAGACTCCATTACACCTCCTTCTGGTGTGTGAGACCGTCGCTCATAGGGGAGAGGAGCATAGGGCATTTAAGACCAAGGGTAGTAGTGCACTTTACGGGAACCAGGGTTATTAGGATTTTTGATTAATTTACGAGTTATTCGCAAAAAAACACTTGCACTTTGCACTTTTCGCGCCATGTTTTGATGAATTTGATGCAAATAAATGCAGTAAATGAAATTTGTTCTCTGGAAAAGGTATTCAGCCCACTTCTTCGGCAACATAGAAAGGAGAATTCTACTGCCTGAGGGTTATAATCCCTAAGTGCGGCTGAAGGCCGCCTATGCAAAAAGCAGTTGGACGCCTGGTTCCGCTAGAGTGCACTTTTGCCCAAGAAAACACTAATTATTCACTTTCCATACAAAAGTTTCGCATACGTCCTCAGATGTGTTTTCTTTATAAAAAAAAACACTTCAAGAACTAAACACACGTTTTTTGTCTGCAACATATTGGAGTTTTAAAACGAGTTAAATTATACATAATTTATTTACCGCTTGTACACAATTTTGCAATCTTTCCACTCCAAGAATGAGCACATTTTAGGCTTCCGTGCCAGTATGGTAGTTACTAATTCACGAGTTATCTTCTTCTTTACCTTATCGGGATAAGCCATGTACCACTTTTGCAATCGTAATTTGCCTTGTCGGCTAAATAGCAACATAAACAGCATCTAAAAATATAATTCATTGATAAACTAATAACAATAAGGTGACATAAACAGAATCTAAAAATTAATTTCTTTAATATACCGATAACAATGGAAAAGGAGGTGTCTTTGTCTTTTCGGCCATTTATTATTTGGGGTGCGAAAACACAACTTACCATACTTAAAAAGTTCACAAATTTTTCGAAATACCAGTGTAAAAATAATTATATTGAGTACGCGATGGATAAAGTTATTTTTCCATTTGATGCCATGGATAACTCGTATTAAATGGAATGTGAAAAATAATTTCGTATAAAAGTGTCATCGATATTCGATATATCGATATTTCATCAAAAACGTAGAGGACATCAGGGATGGAATTCCAAATTTTAAGAAGGGCCAAAAAGGTGTTCGCACGCATGAACCAATTAGAACAGTAGCTCGTTTCTGTAACTTTTCTCTACCGATTATTTCTCTACTAGTAGAGAATATACGTCATTCTCTACTACTCATTAGCCAAGGCGAATTTATATAAGGTGGTGTTACTAGATCATCTGATTTTGTGTATGTGTTTCGCCGCACGGCGTCTGATGCCAAATTAAAAAATTTTGTTTGAGTTTCTACACACACTCTAACTGATTTGGACAGTTTATGCCGCCAAAGCAAAAACAAAATACATGTAAATTTTTGTTTTTGTACTACTGCTATCACCTTATATTAATTCGCCTTGTCATTAGCAGTAGAGAACAGGGCGGCGAATTCATATCTCAATTCGCCTTGGTAGAGAATTGTTACAGAAAAGAGCTACAGATTTCACCGGTCGAGAAACAGCCATTTGTGATAGCATTTGAGACAAAAAGTTTGTGACGTTCGCAATTTTGAAGTTTGCCATTTCTGTTTTGCTTCTTTCTTAGGCTTTCTGCACATTGGTCGTCCAACCATAAGCCCTGTTCGCGTCGCACTATCCAGTAAATCCAGTACTAAATTTACTGGTTTTTTACTGGATGTCGTTTTCGTACGCAAAAACTTGCAAGAAACTAGCAAAAGAGGGGAAATTGAGAGAGCGAAAATGACAGCTGAACTTGCAAGTTTTACTGGAGCAACTATTTGCTAGTAAGAAAAACACTGATGGCATGATGCTTATTGTAAATCACATTAAGAAAATAATTGTTTGTGGTGATTTTAGATTTGCAGTTGACAAATAAACCTACTTTAATATATAATAAGATGGAAAACACTAGTTTTCTAAGAAAATTGCATCGGAAAATAACAATTAATCAGCTGTTCATAAAACTAGCAACTTCTAGCTGGTTTTGCGTTTTCGTACTTTCTTGTATATTTCACTCATTGGGAGTAAATATTGGGGGTACTCTTTATGAATTTGTACAACGATTTTGGATTATCTCCGAAATTTGGTTATTGGCAAGTTACTGGATATTTTTTGCAGGAGAATACGAAACACAACTATAGTTACTTCGTCACAATCATGATGCAACGATTACATGACGACTACATTTTCTCACACTCGGTCGTGATATTTCAATTCATTTGGCGTCTAAAAATGGACTTGGAGCAGGTATTTTCTGTTTTTCTGGTTAATATTTTCGCGAAATATTTACAAAAACCTGCAGTTTTTAAAATATGGACTGTGCTGCAACAATTCTAGACATAATTTTTCAGTAATATCTCCTCTTTTCTTTTCCTGAAATGTATTTTGTGCATGCACACAGAGACTCTTTACAATTTCGTAATATTTCATAGTTAAAACGCTCGTATTTATTGAATTTTATTGCAATTATCCACTTTTTAATAATTTCGACAGATTTTATGCCAAAAAGGGTTTTATTCAAATATTAACTTTTTCACTAATTTTACCCCATAAAATGTAAACAAACAATGCGTGCACAACGATTAGCAAACGACAGTGCCGTACTTATCCGTTTCTGCATCTTCTACGATTTGCCGATAACGGCAAATGTGCAAATCTCCTTTGAAATGCATGTGCTCTGCTCAAAATTTCAGGGAGGGACGATAACGCAACTATGATTGGACGACAAGTTTGCAGATAGCCTTAGAGTTGGTTGTTCAATGTCTGATTAGCACAAATCAAAGGTAGAAGATCCGGTTAAATACAAGGACTGCTTTATCGATCTTATGTTATATTCATGATGTCGAAGACGTGGATAATGATGTTTAACCGGCAAGTAGTGATAACTAGCCATTGAACAACCGGCCCTTAATGTGTATTTTGTCGGTGGTTTATTTCAGTGATTTTTAAGCGATTTTCAATAACTTTTTTGTGCAAATGTAATTAAAAAGAAGTGCGCGGTGATTGGGAGCAAAAACACGTACAAAAATAATAAATTGGTTAGCACAAACATGTGCTACAACATTGCTTGCATTTTTGGCTTTATGCTTCGTCTTCATATTCTTTGTTTATTTTTCATAGAAAATAGCATGGCGGCGAAATTACAAACGTTTCACAGTTTCTCATATAACAGGTTGGCCAAAATATTGAGCTAAGTTACGGAAATTAAGTCTAGGCTAACGGAGCTTTGACAGAAACAAGCAAGTAAACAGCTGATCTATTTAACTATTGAAAATATTTGGCGCGAATTTTTGTTTATCCAGTTTGACAGATGCTAGTTTCTGCTAAAAAAAAATTTTACTAGCAGAAATTAGCAGGAGAGCCAAACAATATAATAGCCTAAGAACGGGAGAGAGCTGATAGTTTCTGCTAGTTTTTTTTGGTTAAGAAACGCCTTCCAGCAGAGATTAGTGATAATTCGTGATACTTATCTGATAAGGAACAAAGCTTATGTTAGCATTTTTGTGTGCGTACGCAAAGCATTCGTATGACGGATGTGGCATATTACGCATTTAAAATTAGTTTTTATTCTATAATTTTGAAAGATATTTTAATTCTCTATCTTTTCATGTCTCAACTATAGCAAAAAGTTGAGTAATAACGAAGATATTGGTCAAAATAAAAAACTGACACTCACGCTCGCATTGAACTGTATATCAGGCTTAAAGCCGCTTTACTATACATTCTTTCCGATTCTGCTAATAGGTTCATTCCTTATCTTTTTGGACTAAAGTCTGAAAAGTGTCAAAATGCCAGAGCGTAAGCAAAATGCGCTCACTAAAAGAGAGTAACAGGAAAAGTAAAGGAACGCAAAAAACCAAATTTTTAGTCCAAAGAATGGCAACAACAAAACTAACGTCAAATAAGAACAGAAATGTATGTACAAAACACATTCACACAAGCACAAGCACAATAAACACTTGCTATATCAATTATTTTTTGCCTCCTTCCAATTTCAATTCATTTCTTTTACTTTTTAGATTATTCTCACTTTTTGCGTATTCTTTAATTTCCGTTAATTTAAATTCAGTTGAGTTTGACACTTTTCAGGATTTTGCCGGAAAAAATTCTTCTGACTAAATCTGACTACTTCGGACTGATGAGAGTCGCTCTCACTGACTGTTGCTCTCTCATTTTTGCTGTCATTTCCGAGTTAAGGAACGCTTTTTGGACTAAATCTGACTACTTCGGACTTTTTCTGACTATTTCTGGGAGATAAGGAACGCGCATAATGACTTTAGGCCAACATAGTTGCCATAAATTCGTTTGAATAAAAGTATTGCCGCTATATATAATAAACATTCATCATATTTGTGACTTTTATTAATTTTGTAATATTTTCGATAGTGATAATGCTCGATAGTTTTTCAAAAAAAAAAACAAACATCGATAGTATCAATAGTGACATTTATAGCTTGTCACTTCCACATGAATCTACGATATCTGTCTTTTGGTGTGGCAAATTAAACGTCACTTGGGTCTAGATAATTTCATCAGATTTTGCTCCATCCTTGATTTTTCGATATTGATACCAAGTTAAAATGAAAATTAAACTAACAGCTAACATTAATAATCCACCGATAAGTAAGTGTTATGTATATTTAGCATATTGTGTCTTTGGTAATTTTACTCTTGAAGCCAAATCTGATTAGATTTCTATCTATATATGGCATTGCATTAGCTTTTCACATCTTGCAGAAATCGGACTAAAATTAGAATTTTTGTAATTAAAGGTGGCTTGGCAACTGCTCATCTTATCAACGAAACCGTACCAATTGAAATAGTGTGGGGCAACGAAACTTCTTTGAAGTTCCCGGACAATCGACACCTTTTTTGTCACTCAAACAATGATGTGCTGCGGGCACTGGCACGTGCTGCACCGGAATATCAACTATATGGAAAAACTGCCATCGAAAGAACACAAATTGACCACTGGTTATCATTTTCACTGACATGTGAAGACGACATCTCCTGGGCGTTTTCATTTCTCGACAAGTCAATTGCACCTGTAACTTATTTGGTAGCTAACAAATTAACTATAGCAGATTTTGCCCTATTTAACGAGATGCATGCACGTTATGAGTTCCTTTCAAAGAAAGGTATTCCACAGCATGTACAGCGATGGTATGATCTCATAAATGCGCAGCCATTAATCCAGAAAGTCTTGCAGACTTTGCCCGAAGAGGCTCGTACAGCAGCAAAACATGCTAAACGCAGCAATGGTGTTAAACTAAGCGATTGCGAAAATTCAGTTCTGCCTGGGTCAACGAAAACGAATGAGCGCAAACAAGAGGGTAAATTCATTGAATTACCTGGTGCAGAGATGGGAAAAGTTGTTGTGCGTTTTCCACCGGAAGCGTCTGGCTATCTGCATATTGGACACGCTAAAGCAGCATTATTAAACCAATACTATGCTTTGAACTTCAACGGAAAACTAATAATGCGATTCGACGATACAAATCCTGCTAAGGAAACGGTTGAGTTTGAAGAAGTCATTTTAGGAGATGTCGAACTATTGCAAATCAAACCGAATCTCTTTACTCATACGTCCAACTACTTTGATTTAATGTTGCAATATTGCGAGCAGATGATTACAGAGGGAAAAGCATATGTAGACGATACACCTGCGGAACAAATGAAACTTGAGCGGGAACAGCGAATTGAATCAATCAATCGTTCAAATGGTACGTTGCTTAATAATGTTATTATTGTGAGTTGTCTAGTAATGCCTTTAACAAACCATTTTTTGGCCATTTTTTTCGCAGATGTTGAAAAAAATCTATTACTGTGGCAGGAAATGAAAAATGGCACTGAAATTGGACAAAAATGCTGCGTTCGTGCAAAAATTGACATGTCTTCACCAAATGGTTGTATGCGGGATCCAACAATATATAGATGTAAGAACGAACCTCATCCACGCACGGGAACAAAATACAAGTAAATGCCAAATAAGATAGTTGAAAATTATATTCAAATATTTTTTATATACAGAGTGTATCCGACTTACGATTTCGCATGTCCAATTGTCGATTCCATTGAAGGCGTTACGCACACATTGCGTACCATGGAATACCACGATCGTGATGACCAATTCTATTGGTTTATTGACGCGCTTAAACTTCGCAAACCGTACATCTGGGAATACAGCCGCCTTAATATGACAAATACTGTGTTGTCTAAGCGTAAGCTGACTTGGTTTGTCGAATCAGGATTAGTCGATGGATGGTAATAATGGTATATATTGTTTTTGATATTAACTAAACAAAATATTTATAGGGATGACCCACGTTTTCCGACAGTGCGAGGCATCATTCGCCGGGGAATGACTGTTGAAGGTTTACGAGAATTCATAATAGCTCAAGGATCTAGTAAATCAGTAGTCTTTATGAATTGGGATAAAATATGGGCATTCAATAAAAAAGTAATTGACCCAATTGCACCTCGGTACACGGCTCTCAATTATGAGAACCGTGTAGTCATAAATGTTGAGGGCGCAAAAAAAGAAACTGTTGAAGTACCTGTGCATCCGAAAAACGAAAGTCTTGGAAAAAAAACTGTCACATTTGGTCCCCGCGTATACATTGATTATGAGGACGCTGTTACCTTGAAAGAAGGTGAAAATGCTACATTTATAAATTGGGGAAATTTGTTAATCAAAAAGGTGTACAGAGATAGCAATGAAAAAGTAACAAAGGTTGATGCCACTTTAAATTTGGACAATAAAGATTTCAAAAAAACATTAAAACTTACTTGGTTGGCTGAGGAAGACGACGAGTCTGCATATCCACCTACATACTGCGTTTACTTTGATAACATTATTAGTAAGGCGGTTTTGGGCAAAGATGAAGATTTCAAACAGCACATTGGTCACAAAACCAGAGTAAGTCCCAAATCCCACTTAAGATTTGTCTAAAATCTTTACAATAATTTAACAAATAACAGGAGGAATTGAAAATGCTGGGTGATCCTGAACTCAAAAAATGTAAAAAAGGTGATATCATTCAGCTTCAACGGCGTGGTTTCTTCAAAGTTGACGTCGCTTATGCTCCAGCCAGTCCTTTTTCAAATGCTATTACACCAGTCATTTTGTTCTCAATACCAGACGGTCACACCAAAGATATGCCTTCATCAGGATTGAAAATAAACGCTAACTCAAAAGACGTCCGCAAAAATGTGAGTATGACAATTAGGTCAAATCGCGAAATAGACAAATATTATCCGAAGGGTCCGTTATCAATTACTTTCCGCTTTATAGCAGAATTGGATTGCTGGAACTAAGAATAGGAATTTCATGTGAACAAAAGTGCTCAAAATTACAAATCTTCCCAGTTTGTTTTTGTTTTGCTTGTAAATTTTTGTGAACAACAATTTATTCACATGGAATTAGTGAAATGCCAATAGTTTGGGTTTCTTTAGTTTTTGCTTTTAGATTTCTTATAAACATTTTTTATCGAAACACGCTGAAAAAAAAAAATAACATGCTGGCCGCTGTGGTGTAGCGGTTAGCAGTGCGCGCTACAACGACAGTCGGGTCTACGTAACCGGAACGACCCAGATGGATATATATCTGGCCAAGGACTGCCACCACTCCAGCAACACTCCCCAAAATCTCTTTGGGGAATTTGTATGCTGTTACAACAACAACAAAAACCATTCAAGCCCGGTTCAACCCAAAATCCAAGAAATAAAATAACAAAAAAGCTTTTTCCTAATAGCGGTAGCCTATCGGCAGGCAATTGCAGACCTCCGAGTGTACTTCTGTCATGAAAAACAGCTTGGCATAAAAATACAATAAAATAATTGTAATAATGTTGTATCTCGTAAACTTTAAACGGTTAAATAAATGTTTAGAGGATTTGGAACCGCAACCAACTATTTTTAGCAGTGTGAAAATTTACAATATGACTTTTATAGCATGTACCTTGCGAATCTTATAAATATATTTTAACCGTATAAAGTTTACTATAAACAACAATACGCCACCTACGGCTCCAATAGCTACTTGGATTTGCAGTTATGGATAAGCTCCTAATGTCTCGCTAGGACAAAAAAAAGTAAATACGCAGAGTTTATGCCCTTTATTTGCTCAGTTCCGCGCAATGGCAGAGAAGTTTTTGGACTAGATAAAGACGAACTTCGTCTGCAGTAGTCTTTCCATGATCCATGGTTAATATCCCTTGATTTCACAATGGCCAGGGACCCAGATAATTTTTATGCGGAATGTATAACCATATATTTAAGAGTTCGGCGGCATTGAACAACTCTTGAAGTCAGTGATATTTTCGCGATTTTCAATGGCGCATGGTGCCAATTTTATCTACAATAATTTGAATGAAATAAGTTTGTTAAATTTAAAAATATATATCGCTCCTTTGCACTAATAACGCCATATCTAAAAAACCAAAACATCGAGAAAAACGACTTTAAAGTATTGAATTTACGTATGGGCCTTCCAGAGAAGACGACACAACAGTTATTACAAAATTAGTTACATAGATTCTTAAATTATTCTTTAGAAATAGATTTTGATCGATTGATTTTTCACTATTTTCTATTGTTTTTTATAAACATTGCCATAGTGCAACATTCTCTGATATAATATATATTTCATCAAGTTGTTAAGGCATTCCCTATTAAAGGTAATAATGCAAAAAATAATTTTCCCAAGAGAAAGTACAATTCGTGGACCTTAACACGGTGGTTGTTGTTGCTGTTGTTATAGCGGCTACTAAGCCCCGTTCGGGGCGGTTCATCCATCAACGTTGTTGTTGTTGCAGCGGCTACTAAGCCCCGTTCTGGGCGGTTCATCCATCAACGTTGTCGTCAATTTCAGCTAGGGGGAGGCCCAGGAATTGTGCTACTTCCACAGGGGCTGTCCATAGGGACAGGGGCGCTAGCTGAGTGGGGTTCTCAGGGCATGTGAAGAGGAGCGGTGAGTCATGTGGCGACTCTCCACATGCCGGGCATTGCTTGGGCACATCCTCGTTGATTCTGCTCAAGTAGGAGTTAAGCCTGCTGCAATAGCCAGAGCGAAGTTGGGCTATTGTAGTGCGGGTCTCCCGAGGCAGACAAAGTTCTGTCCCGTCCACGTCCGGTGGTTGTGCGCCTAGAACGGCATTCACAGGGCGGGAGTCTACATAACTTGAGACTGATTCCCTGTGAATGCCGTTCAGGGCCTGTCGGTAGGTTGACGGGTCCAGAGGTTGTTTGATAAACCTCTGGACATCGTCCGTCAGTTCGTAAAGATGCCTCCTGACGTGCCGTGGCGAGGGCTCTTCCGCGAGCAGCTGTCCGCTGGGATGGCCACGTCTGAGTCCCTGTGGGAGTGAGGAGGCCTCTATATCTTCTAGTAGCGTTGAATGACTGACAGTGTCGAACGCCTTGGACAGGTCCAACGCTTCTAGAATAGTTCTCTCACAGGGGCGGTTTCGGTTAGGCCAAGAGTTATCTGAGTGTTTATGGCGTTAAGTGCTGTTGTTGTGCTATGCACTTTACGGAACCCATGTTGATACTTCGCTGGGGTCAGGTGGTTCGTAAAGTACGGGATCAGCAGGGCCTCGAGTGTCTTCGCTACCGGGGAAAGGAGAGTTATCGGGCGATAAGACTCTCCTTTATTGGCTGGTTTCCCCGGTTTGAGCAGTGGGACCACTCTCCCCATTTTCCAGATGTCTGGAATGACGAGAGTGGACATAAACAGGTTGAGGACCTCGTTAGGTACGCTACTCCCGCAGGACCCAAATTTTTCAGCATCAATATGCATATTCCGTCGAGTCCAATGGCTTTGGAGGCTTTCGCCTTCCCGATGGCTACCCTTACCTCACCGCTGGTGAAAACAAGAGGCGCACTAGGTTTTGGCATTTTGTGCAGGCTTCTGGTCACTCGACGTTTGGCTTTATCCACCGGAGGATGCAGAATGAACTGCCGGCTAAAATATATCGCGCATCTCTCCGGGTCCGACGAAGCGTGGTCACCAAAGTCTATCTCGAATCTGTCGTCGCGTTTCGTTGGGTTGGACAACGACCTTACGGTTGACCGAAGCTTGCTCTCACCAGAGGCGAAGTTGCAGGTCTTTAAATGCTCTTCCCATTTCTTCCGCTTATGTACGTTCACAAGTTGCCAAATCTCCGAATTGAGATCCCTAATACGGGGATTTCCGGGATCTGCCTGACGAAGGTTGTCGCGCTCATCAGCTAGAACAGCCGCTTCGACAGGAGAATTCGGACGTGAATCCTTAATACATCCTGCTGGGAAGACCCGAGCTGCAGCAGCGGTGACAACCCTGCGGAACTTACGTTCACCTACATGAACGTCGGTTGGTATGGGTAGTGCAGTGAAGGCGCCCTCAGTAACATCCATGAAGCCTTTCCTGTCAGTTTTGGAAAAGTTGACATAAGTCCGGTGATCCACGGAAGCAAAGTCGGCAGGTTTATCAATCGAGATGGCTATGGACAGTTGGTCTGATGCTAGAGTCAGCACAGGTCGCCATGATACGCTGTTTATCAGACCAGCGCTGACAATTGTTACATCTGGCGAGCTGCAGCAGCTGCCCATAATCCTGGTGGGTGCGTCGTCGTTCATTGTGCAGAATGTCGAATCGTCTATCTGCTCAGCCAGATGTATTCCCCTACGATCGTTTGACAGGCTTGAGTGCCAAAGATCGTGGTGCGCGTTAAAGTCGCCAACTACCATACGGTTTTCACCTCTGAGTAGCGCACCTATTTCAGGGTGATATCCTGCCGGGCAGCTGGTGACAGGGTGTATGTATACGTTAAATATTTCGAGCCCAACATCGCCTGACCGGATAGCAATACCCTGACATTCTAGGATGGTATCCCTGCGGTCGATGTCTGCTTCAATGAGACGATACTGCACGGTGTGGTGCGTGATGAACGCTAAACCTCCACCATTATCACGCTCGCGATCTCGACGGTGCACGTTGTATCCGGCGCAATTCAACAGGGTTGAATTGCCGTGCAACTTCGTCTCTTAGACCGCAGCTATTAATATTCCATGCTTTCCCATAAAGACAGTTATCTCCTCGATCTTGCTCTGGAGTCCGTTACAGTTAAATTGTAGTACCTTTGTGTGCCTTGGGAGACCGATTGTGATGTGTGGTGTTAAAGAGTTGTGTTGCCTGCCGGCCCCCTGCTGTACGTGCTGCCTTGTGGTGGTGGTTGGTGGCGTCGCGTGGGAGGGATGCGACGGGGCAGCACAGCACGGGCCCACATAGTCACTCGTCCAATCTCGCGTGTTGCGAAGTCCTGAGTTCGCCCCCTTAAGTGGCATCAGCCGAGGCAAGAGTTGCACTTGACTGATGTCACGTTACGGTATATTCTGGACTGACAAACAGAGCAGATTGTCGGAGGGACTGGGAGCTGCAGGCGGCGGCGGTGTGTGGGTGCTATTGTGTTTGTTTGTGTGTCTATTGTTGTGTTGTGTTGGGGTGTGTTGATTGTGTGCTGCCCAGGCGGGTGGTGGTTTGCCGTGGAGTCGGTCCGGTTCGCACAGCATGGGGCCACGAACGACGTGGTCCATTGCCGGTGCGTACGTAGGCCCGAGCAGTTACGGAGGTGACTCCACCCGTCACAGGCATTGCACCTGACCGAGGTGGAGTTTGTATGCAGTCGTCTCTGGCATACGCAGCAGGTGTAGATTTCTGGCCCTGGGTTTGACTCTATGCCAGCCCTGAGCAGAAGGGTGCGGAGAAGGTGTAGCCCTAGAATCGAGCAACGTTTGATGGATTTCGCCGACCTAAACGGGGTTAGATCGCCGAAACAACAGCCCTTGGTCGGGTAAAATCCCGAGTCATTCCGGTACGTAGAACCGGCTGTTGTGGGAATGTAACACGGTGGTTTATGCGTTCAATGAATTGATTATTGGATGTCCTATCCGTCACAGTAAAACACATATTTTTTAACGTAATATACAAATACTTAAGCTTTTCATTATTCAAATAAGCCCCCCTTATTAAAAATATAATAAACATTCAAATCAAATCAGCAGTGTTCATTTTACTCACGTGCTACATATGTGTGTAATACACACTGTGTATAATAATGCCATCAAAGCATAAAATGGACCTTAACATTCTAACAGTTACATTCCAGAAAACCGCTATGAACGAACGAAATATTTATAGTTTGCCTAACCACGAATGTTGAAACTACTCCAAA